ACCTGTGCTCTAGCCATTGACCCTCCTGTTTCATTGCATGCAGGTCACTAGGGTTCAAAGGGGACCTACATGGTTCACAGTGAGGGCAAAGGCATTCAGGAATTACTGTATTTTTCGCTCTATAAGACGCACCAGACCACAAGACACACCTAGTTTTTGGAGGAGGAAAACAAGAAAAAAATATTCTGAATCTCAGAAGCCAGAACAGCTGTGCAGTGAAAGCAGCAATCCCTCTTGTTGTTCTGGCTTCTGGGATAACTGCGCAGCCTGCATTCGCTCCATAAGACGCACACACATTTTCCTTTACTTTTTAGGAGGGAAAAAGTGAGTCTTATAGGGCAAAAAATACGGTATCTTGTTGATGGCTTTACCTATCTCATTCCACAGTGTGATGAGAACCTCAACGGAAATGCCAACCATGTCAGCTTTGGAGGCCAAAGTAGAATCTACACTTCGATTTGCTGCCACCTCATGCCCCAGTTTCCTGGGATGCCTGAAAAAGCAAGGATTAGGTTTTGCTGCATCTTTGCAGCAAATGATTAATGGAAGGGAAAAGTTAATAACTGAGCACATCTGATATGACACTCCAGGGCAAGATTTATGCAATGCTAAGAAATGAGCTTCATGGGAGCAACAGCACTTTAGTGACAAGATAATAGATGCTGTTTTATAGACATGTTCGTGAGCGACTGCTAAGAATAGCATTTGCGTATATTCAAATATTCAGAGTGCTGGCATGAAGGAGAAGGAAGGAAAAGTGCTATTGAAAGTGAACGTACTCACCCATTTAGCAGGGCTTTTCCTTCTCGCCTCTATGGCTGCCCCCCCCCCCCATGAAGGGTCTATGTATAGATGTGCTGGGATTATAACACTTACATTTCCTCCTGATTTCTGCTTGATTTCTGAGGTCATTAGAAAGGCACTATGACCTATCTGTATTTATTTTCTTAGTGAACATTAATGCATAGTTTGCATATGTTCAGTTCACTATTTCTAAATTTCCTTTGCCCAAAAGGAACCCTTTTTGTTTTAAAGCATCTAGTTTGTAATCAGAAGGCTGTGGAAATGAAAGAAGCACTGGAAGAAGAATGGGTTAGACTCTGGACTGTAGCTGATCCAAGCAGACTTGAAGTCACAGGTGGGAAGTGACTTCAAGCCCGCCTTCCAGCAGAAATTCCAGTGGGGGTTGTACATTTGCAGTTAAATTTCAAAAGTGCCAAATGCAAGCCCTGCTTGCCAAGGAACAACCAGGAGCGCACTTGAACACCTCCAAGGACTCCTTTGCAGCTGCATCTTCACCTGTCTCATACCTGCTTGTCAGGAGCTGGTTTCAGGAGTAGTTTAGCAATAAAACACCTGGTGTTGGTGAAGTTAACTCTTTATTCAAAGAAACCAAACAGTGCAGGCTTAGTGATTACAGCAACTCTTCCCAGTAGGTCTTATCCCAATGAAGCAGTTGCAAGTGAAGGTCCCCACCTTCCTACAGCTGCCTAAGACCCACCTCTCCCAGGTCCTTCCCAAGCAATCTCGGGCTCCTTCGTCTTATCTCTCATTGCTCTGCCCTCTTCACCCCTCTATATGTTCTGGGAGACTGGGGCGGAGGGGAACTGGTTGCAGCAGGAGGGAGAGACTCCCTGGATTCTTCAGCAGCCTGCCTCCTCTCTGTCTCCTGGTCCCTTCCTCTCCTGCCTTTGATTCTGGACTGCCCCAGCCTCTTCCTGCTCACTGCTGCCTCTTCAGCTCCTGACACCACCTCCTCCTCCTAGTCTGGCCCTCTTCTCCCCCTGACCATTCATCATCGTCCCACCACCAATCCCCTCTGAGCCTTTTTCCTTTGGGGGTTCCCCAGCTGGTGCCTCCCACCTCTCCTCTACACCCAGCCAGTCCATGACACTGATGTGTCATCAGTTGTGGAGCAGGGTGGCATGGGGAATCCTGATAATGCACCCCACAGACCGGAGCACCCTCCTATTGTTGTGTGACTCCTTCTGGCTTGCGTTTTATCAAGCAGGAAGCCTTTTTGACTCATGGAGCATCCCTCCTGAGGAAGATCCCTCTTCTGAAGCTAGTATTTGCATTGCAAGGAATTCCCCCAGTGGTGCCACTAGGGGATATCACCCCCCACCAAAGCAAATATTAATTTCAGAGGAGGGATTTTCCTCAAGACTCCAGCAGGAGAGAAAAGGGTTACATTTTCCCTGCGTCTCTGCTCTGATCCCATTAATTACCAGCCACTCGCCATGTGATGCCATTTGCATTTTAAAAACCTGCTCTAGCTGCAAAGCAGTGCTTAACAGCCGCTTTGCAGTTTGGCCCTGGGAAAACTATCTTCGAGACTGAGGTTGATTACTACAGCTACTGTTTCCTGAAGACCCGGGGAAGTTTATTCTGGTCACGGTTACAAGATGTGCATCAGTATCAGTACAGATCTAGTGATCACTAATTTAAAAATAAAACCCCCAAGTGTTCTGACTCAATTCCAGCACATTTATACAGCCCAACGAGGGATCTATAAAGCCAAATGAAATGAAAAGTAGCAGGTGTGTTGATGCAGATACAAACCCAGTTTGGATAAACATATCCCTGCTCATTAAGCCAATATGTTGTTACACACCACACCCAGTGGCAGGCCTTAGGGTCTCAAATTTCAGTAGCACCCTGTGCAACACCAACATTCATTGCCCCCCCCCCCCCCGCCTCTCTTGCTCCATTCTAAATCATAGTTGTGGCACCCCCTGCAGTGCCCCTGAGGCTCTGCACCTAGTGCCACCAAACTGATTACGCTCCCCTAAATCATGACGGAAGGAGATTTTGTCCAAGGCCACACAGTGAGTGGAAAAATGAATGCCAGAACACAATTCAGGAAGCGCCCCCAACTTCAGTGGCCTCGTAACCTGGGCTTCTGGTGCCACTTCTGATTCGGTGTTTAAAGCCTGTGGTTCCATCATTGTGTTGTTGCTGATAGCTTCCTCACACCTAGCTTTTCCGGCTTCCCAGGATGAGATGCTGATTTGTATTTATGGATGCTGTGTACCAGGAGTTTCTGTTTGCAAAGCTCAGTAGTAACACCAGTGGTATCGCACGTGCACCTGAGAGGCTGATACAGTCTCCATGCAAAACGGGGAGGTGGAATTAGAAAAAATCCTGGTAAGAATTTGATGGCCCCAACCCCCACCCCCAACCCCAGCCTGGTAAGCTTAAAATGCAAACTTGTGCTTGGTGGGAGTTTCTGTGACTTGGCAGCATTGTCTACACAGCTCACAGCTTCATAGGACCTTTGTGCAGACAAAATTGATCAACAGCGGGAGGAAAATAGCTGTTGCCTTGGTAACCAGCTGATGACTCATCCCGGGTAGCAAGTGGCAGAAGCTGAGAGGCTGCGGTAATTTTCCAGATGCTTAATTCAGCTCTCTTTTTCTCTCCTCCTCAAAGACAGATTTCTCTTCTCTCCTCACCCCACCCCCTGTAGCCTTATGTGATGCAATAAACAGTCCTCAAGGTAGCCCAAGACATTTTATTACCTGAAGTGAAGCAGCAAATGGTGGCTGCTTGCCTGAAGGCAGGGTGCATAAGTACTTCCCAAGGCTGGTTCAAGTTATTTTGGCAACTGAGTCATTCGTGGTGCTCACACAGGACAGCATCTTGGAGAAAAACTAATGATATGATGATTGGATTAGAGCTCCTGTGCCCCAAAGAAGTTCCCAAAAAGTATTTGAAAATTAAAATTAGAAAGTTCTCCCCAGGACACTAGTTAACTGGTATCATGCTTGCGACAGCAGTTCAGGCCCACCCACCCTCTGAAAAATTTGCCACACTTCCTTTTGTTCCACAGTGTTCAATGCTGTGCTGCTTACCTTTTAACACACTGGGTTCTGGCAACCGGACTGAATAGATTTGAAATGCTGCATGATGCTTTGTACATTTTGGGTGGCTCGAGAAATATTCAGTGATGATGGTGTTGATGCTGGAGCCCCCTCTTTAATAGGCAGGACATGGAATGAAAGACAAGTGGGATGATTTTGGGCATCTTGCCTGTTGGGGCTGGTGGCTAACCATTCACCCTCAGAATGTAAGAAGAACCTGCTGGATCAAGCTAATGGCCCGTTGAGTCCAACATCCTGCTCAAACAATGGCCAGCCAGATACCTGTAGGAAAGCTGCAAGAAGGCAATGAGCTCAACAGCATCCTGTCCACTTGAGATTCCTGGCAACTGGTACCCAGAAGCATATTGACTTTGACAGTGGAGGTGAAACTACTGGGGTTTTCTAGAGGAACATGGTTTCCTCAATACACAAACACACTATTGACTGCACAGGGTCCAGCTACCTTCTATTGAGAAAATACTTGTTTTTGCTGGGATACAACATTTCCCCAGCACTGAAGGAGCAGTATTTCATGGATGACTGTTCCAGAATGAATTTGCTGAAGAATCATAATTATTTTCCTTTACTCCAACACCCTGAGGCATAATTTGCCAAAGAGGCTCCCCTCACCCCCCGCTGGTGCCTACATTAATTTCCTTTCATTTCTCTTCTCAAATGCCTTTTAAACTGTGAAACTACTTTATAGTTTATAGTTTATACTTTATAGTTTTGTGTTATATTGGTATTATATTGGTCCCCCCCCCCTGTGAACTGATGATAGTTCCTTCTCTGGTATTCTTCTTCTTCTTTTTAAAAATGTGCAAACTTTCTTATGCCACCACCACTGAGGGGTAAAATGTATTGTGGCAGTGATAGTGGTGGTATTGGTGGAGAAAGGGGTTCAGCTGGTTGTCTCTTTGTCTTATTTCTGTTGAATAAAAGTTGTATCGTTATACTGGATTAACAGTGAATTGCTTGTGGCCTAGAAGCTGTGGAAGTGGGCGATCAACAAATCTAACAAATCCTCCTCCTCCTCCTCCTCCTCCTCCTCCTCCTCCTCCTCAATGTAACCAAAAGAAGATTAGACTAATCCCTCTTGAATAGGAACCTCCCACCCCTCTACCTGAACAATCAAGAGCCTTAGCTTAGTGGTAGAGCTTCTGCTTTGAATGCAGAAGTTCCCAGGTTCAGTCCCAGGCATTGCCAGGTAGGGCTGGGAATATTTGCTGCCTGGATCCCTGGATGGATGGTGGCTGCTGGCCAGTGTAGATGATGCTGATCAAAATGGACCCATGATCTCACTCAGCTTCCTATGTTTCTATGTTCAACTGAATAATGGGAACAAATTTCATTTTATTTTGGCCTAAATGAAAAGCATAAATAATAGATGCTGAGATCCATTATAGGGTAGCAGCAGTGAGGACCCTTTATATTAAATATTGGCGAGTAAGGGAAACATTTGCAACAGAAGAACGGGAGACGAATATGCTGTTGTGACTAAATTAACAATGTCAGAACCACAAGCAAAACTCCAACCAATTTAATGAATGCCGGGAATGGCTTATTCCTTATTGAAACAGTAAAGCACATACATTTCTACTATAGTAGTAATGTGTTTGAAGTATTATAAAGCTTAAATAAACGAAATAAATATTTGTTCATATGTTTTATAATTTTAATCACATAAGAAAGCACCTCTAGTCTGAAACCGTAATGCAACCTGGCACCCACTAGATGTTTTAGACTACAATTCCCATCAGCCCACACAGCTGAGCTGACCTCAGCCATGTGGTGTGACCAGCGTCCTGTCAATCAATACAGCACCAGGGGCAGTTTCAGGACTAGCCTCTCCTACGCCGGACCACCCTTGATTTTTTTATTACAACCTATCTTTTCACCCTTCAGCTTTCTGCCATACAGCCACCTCTTTGAATGAGGATGAATCCTTCCTTCCTTGAAAATTTGGAAATACTTTGATATTTAGGTTAATTTCACAGCTTTGTGCATGCAAATTTCTAAAAAATTTAGCTCCTGCATGTGTTTCTCTCACCATTTCCTCCATTTTTCTCCAATGCCCAACCCTCAGAGCCCATCCCCACTCCTGTTTCTGCCTGGGAAAACTCGTGGTTTAGTGCTGAATCGGAACAAATGGCAAACAGATTTTTCATGGATTGCCACTTGTTATGATTTATTGTTAATGAGTGGGTTTTCTGGGGGAAAGTGATGAGGCACTCAGACTCATGCCTCAAAAGCATAGGACATGCAGAAAACCTCTTGGATAAGTGCAGGTGTAGACTGATTCTCAGTTTAAAACATTTGCCCTTTATTGTAGTATTTTCATGGGCTTGGTCAAGTAAGGCGGGGAGAACGCACTACTAAGAAGATCTGCTTTTCAAACAAAGCAATCTATCTTGAAATGGGAAGGCTGACAACCACATCTCAAGAACTGCACTCTCCATTGACAGTCACAAATGACGAATATGCTAAACCACAAGGCTGTCATTCGTCTTTACTAATATCCGAGATTTTAAGAGGCATCACGACAGCATGCCTGAGAGATGTATGAAGAATGGCTCTATGGTTACGGAGAAGTCCTCCCTCCTTCCTCAGCCAGTTGGCAGGTCAGATGCTGCCAGAACAGAACCGTCATCTATCATCATGACCACTCGTGAAGGTGACATTTTTCAGAGCTGGCTGGTTTTGCAGCAACGTGAGTGAAGGAGCTGGCAAAGCACTTTGGTAGTGGCAATGAACACAGCTTTGAGTTGTCCTTGACAGTGGAATGCTCTGAATTCCTTTTGTTTTTCCATGGAAAGCTGAGCTGATGCATTCTTCCTATGAAGTGATTAAAAAAAAAAATCAGCACAATGTATGTCTGTGAGTTTGGAAGATCCTATTAAACAGATATCTGTCAACCTAGTTTAGCTTCTAACACCATCCCCAAGCCCTAATTCAGTGGTGGGGAGCCTGCCCCCACCAGGCCTCCTGTTTAGGCCTACTCACCCAAACATGGGGGCACCAGTGAGTTCCTAGGGGAAACTGGTAGGTGCACCCAAATTTTGCAGAAATCAGGAGTGAATGGGTGTTCAATCCTGCTCAGTTCAGACACACTAGTAAGTTCTCAAGGGGAATTGGCAGGCTCACCCAAACTGCAGGGTGAGACTTCTGTGCACCAACTGATGTGTGGGGAGTTCAATTCTGCTTGGTTTGGGTGCACCAGTGAGTTCATTATGATGTCACACGATTGACATGTGGGTGGTTCTTCTGTACATGGTTTCTGAAATTTGTGCCCACAAGATGTAGTGATCACCACCAACTTGGTTGACTTTAAATGAGGATTAGAAAAATTCTTTGAAAGGTAAGGCTACAAACGGCAACTAACCATGGTGGTTATGTACTTTCTCCACTGTTGAGTGTAATATTCCTCCGAATACAGTGGTACCTCGGGTAAATACTTAATTCGTTCCGGAGGTCCGTTCTTAACCTGAAACTGTTCTTAACCTGAAACACCACTTTAGCTAATGGGGCCTCCTGCTGCTGCTGTGCCACAGGAGCGCGATTTCTGTTCTCATTCTGAAGCAAAGTTCTTAACCCGAGGTAATATTTCTGGGTTAGCAGAGTCTGTAACCTGAAGCGTATGTAACCTGAAGCGTATGTAACCCGAGGTACCACTGTACCAGTTTCTCAGATTTGCAAGTGGGGAGATGGTTTTTGAGCATATGTCCTGCTTCCAGGCTTCCCCTTACAGCCAAGTGAACATGATGAACTTTTGCTGGAATTAGCAGCACGGTTGTAGTATGCCCCATCATTCTGCAGTTCCTTTTCTTGAGTGGGTTGCGGCTGTAATGAGATGGCAAAGAATCTGGAAAGCATATTGTAGAGGGTGGTTAGAGCGGAAGGAATAACTTGTTCTCTTTTGCACACGTTCAAAACACATCTTATACGGACATGATTTAACTGGTTCAAATTATGTTCAACAGTTTGCCGTTAACATTGTTTGGTTCATGGCCTGCCACTTGTTTCTCAGTGCAATGCCGTGGCTTCACAAACAGTTTTATGCAAGTCGAGAGATCCCAGCTTCAAAAAAAAAGAAAAAGAAAAATGTAGTCTCAAAGAGGTTCTGTTATTCACTTCACAAGAAATTATTGAGCTACACCTTATAGATAAAATGGACATCCATTCAATCACTCTGGGAACAAAGTGTTCAAGGACAATACACGATAAGCAAGTCCCCAGCCTCCAGGCGAGGGGTTGGCAAGGAACTGAGTTCATCATTCACCCATAAAGGGCCTGAGTTTATGATTACAAGAGCAGAATGGTTACAATATCTGTTTATTTCCAAATGGAAACACGCCAAAAGAGCCTTTGACGGCACAGAAGTGTTGTGTGAAGATGTTTCAGCCTCAAATGCCTTTGTAGACTGTAAGTCAGGAGTCAGTGAACTTTTTCAGCAGGTGGCCGGTCCACTGTCCCTCAGACCTTGTGGAGGGCCAGGCTATATTTTGAAGGGGGGAAAAGGAACGAATTCCTACGCCCCACAAATAACCCAGAGATGCATTTTAAATGAAAGCACACATTCTACTCATGTAAAAACACCAGGCAGGCCCCACAAATAACCCAGAGATGCATTTTAAATAAAAGTACACATTCTACTTATGTAAAAACACGCTGACTGTCCGCGGGCTGGATTTAGAAGGTGATTATGGCAGATCCGGTCCCTGGGCCTTAGTTTGCCTACCCATGCTGTAAGTCTTTTTGATGTGTTTGTAAATCACTTGGAGTCATTTCCATGAGTAAATCATCAAAAATCATTCATTCCCCAAAACAATTATGATGAGGCAGTGGGGCAACTTTCTCTTTATGGTCTCTTGTCAAAGCCCCTCTTCAAAAAAATCGCTGAAGGTGACATTATATAGCCCTCCAGTTCATAGGCTGCCTATAAACACATCCCCCCTCTCCAAAGAATCCTAGGAACTGTAGTTTATCCCTCACAGAACTATAATTCCCACTACTGTTAACCAACTACAGTTCCCAGGGTTCTTTGGGGGCAGAGGAATGTGCTTTAAAGGCATGGTGTGTATGCAGCCACAATATTATGCCACCACTGCAGTATCAGTAGAAATCAAAATACCTAACTGAAAGGCAGTAAGCACAAGGAATACAGCAATGGCCCTCAGCCACCTGTGTTTTGAGCTTTGAGTGAAGGAGAAAGAGAACATCAATCTGATGGGCAACAAAATATGCCTTTCATTTTCATTCTTCCTGAGACACTGTTCTGAAGACAGCTTTTCTTTCCCTTCCAAGTGGCAGCTACTGCAACGTTGCAGAAAGCGGGCTGACCAATGATCCAAGAAATGGTGATTAAGTTTCAAGCTGAAGGTGTTTTGCTGAAACCAACACATACCGCTTCAGACATGTGTGGAACTCAACCCTGTATTTTTAACACGCCTGATTCAGCTTGCACTGGGCACACACACACACACACACACACACACACAGTGCATATGTTTCCAGCTGTTGACATCTCACTCCTTTTTTCCAGCACCGGGAGCTGTTCCCATACTTCTAGTTCAGCAAACAGCATCCATCTGTCAAGGATGCTGTGCTCTTGCTTTAGGAAAGCTCTTATATAGCAGTGCAATGGTGATGCTTCCAAAATGAGGAAGGGGTAGAGCAATTTTTTGTGGGGGAGCTGCTGGGAGCAATCTAGACTAGAGCCTATTGCCTGCCCTATCTCCCCTTTTCTTCTTTCTCCACCTTCCACGTGACAGCCCTTTAGATATTTGAAGATGGCAGTCATAAATGGGTTTGATCACCAAAGCATCTCTATACTGTAGCATCTTCATGCTACTGATGTAAGAGGAGAAAACTCTTGCAAAAGCTATTTCTGTTGGCCAATGTCAAATAAAGATACAGACTTATTTGGAAATGCTTGCATATACTGTGAGCAGATTCAAACTGATTTCAAGACTGACTCCATCAAGTGTAACACACTTCATAAAGCGATATGCCATCTGTCTCTCATCTTCTCCAGTGAAAGATACTTCTGCATGTGTGAGGAAAACCTTCTCCCCACCCCCCAAGCACTGCTTTTGACTAGCTTTGCCAGCAACAGAATTTGACCTTCTGATAATTGTGCTGTTGTATGTGCCATTCATTTCAGTGCCCTGCACAGAGAAGTCTCCTTTTCGTAGGTATCTCACACA